GTAAACAAATAAAAAACTAAATGAAAAGTGAGTTGGAACGAATGTACCAAACGTCTACTTAAAAAAGTAGACGTGTATGACCGGAAGGCAAAAATTGAAAGTTGAATTTTGAAGCTCCAATTTCCAAAGACCAAATTCGTAATTTTAACGAGAAGATGAGAATAAGAGAATTTAGAGAGTAGAGAGTAGAGAAAGTAAAGAGTAGAGAGTAGAGAAAGTAAAAGATATTTTTGTGAGTGAAAAGAATGAAAGATTAGGGGTATTTATAGTTAAAAAAAAGAATGAAAATGTAGTTTTAAGAAGTTTGGGGTATTAAAAAAAGTTTGGGGGGTAGGGAGGTGTAAATGGGGGGTTATGGGGTGAAAGAGCCGTTGGTGGGGCCCAAAACCCGTTGCCCAACGGCTAATTTTGAAATTTCAGATTAAAAAAAAAAAAAACTAAACGAACCGGACCGGAACCGGGACGGACCGGTAAATCCCGGTTTCCGTCCCGTTACCCCTCCCGAACCGGCACAATACCGGATCGAACTGGTACTATCCGGAACCGAGATGGAACCGATACCGGTACCTCCCGGTTCCGTTGCCAGCCTTAATCAATTGTATGATGGCTGATACAATAAATACAACAAATATTCTACCTCTCGCACCTTTCTTGTCTCTCTCCTCTCCAAAGCTATAATTTGTAATTAAGCACACTATAACTATAGATCTCTAATTAATTTTAAACTATAGTCATTTTTAAAAGTTTTCCAAAAATAAATAAATTGGAACAATATATATTATTAGAAACGGCACATATAGGTATGTTTTTCACAATATTCCCAAATAATTTAACGCCTGCCCCACTAGTTTAGTTTTTATTTGATACGCGGGTTGTCCTTAAAATACATTTAATTACACGATTTATATTTTAAAAATAAATGTATGGGGTTTTGGTTTTCCTCCACAATTGAATTTAGGGTACACAAAATAAGGCAAAAGTGATAGGAGGAGCTTTGGGCCTTATGGGCCTCGGTTCGTGGAGGGTGAAATACGTAAAATCTCATCATCGTCTTGTTCATTCGACTCCAACTGAACAAACTAGGGTTTGAGATCCTAAATTTTGGCGTTATGAAGAAGAAAATGGTAAAGGCGGGTGAGACGGAAACGAAGAAGAAAGCAAAATGTTTCAAGGATAAGAGGAAGAATATGCAAAGATTAGGAGGAGGAAGAGGAGGCTTATCATTGGAAGCATTTGCAAACGCCAAAACCAAGACCAACACTTACAACCCTGCCATCATAAGTATTTCTTACGACACTGGGGAATTAAATTATTGCTTTTACCGAAAAAATAACTCTGCCGATTCTAAATCTATGGTCTGAAACAGTTGGTTCTAATAGCATATATGTTGTATCTGTAATTGTGCTTTTCTTTTTGTGCAGAAAAGCAAAGGGAGTTCTATAAGAACGCCAAATATGTAAATAAATATAAGAGGATAGTTAAGCAGCAACAAGGAGAGCCTTCTGGTTCTGGTTCTGCAAGACAACTAGAGGTTTGTGATTTATCCATCTCCTCTTCTTTTTTTTTTCCATTCTATTTCAGTAATTGTAATTGTGGAAGTTAAGTAACAATCCAAAACGCAACTAGAAAAGTGTTGTTCATTCTAATTCCAATTGCTATATCAGGATGAAGAAGGGAGAAGAAATAAGAAGAATAGTGCTAGAAGCCTAAGAGAAATATATGAGAGAAAACGCGAGGAGGATGACAAGGCAAAGATGGAGACAGAGGCCACTATTCTAGCAAGGAAAGAAGAAAGGCAGAGAGCTGAATCTCGAAGGAAAGAACTAAGGGAGAAAATGTTCAAGAAAACCAAATCAGGCCAACCAGTCATGAAGTACAGAATAGAACATATTTTGGAAACACTTCAAGGATCAAAAGTATAAGAATATGAGCGAGCAGTAACATCAAAGAAGCAGTTGCAAAAGACACAAGTGTGTATGGATGTAAAAGTTTAAAGAATAAAACTGTTCTTGTCCAATTAATATTTTCATTAAGCCTCTCTCTTTAGTCGTTCGTGCACATTTGAACTTCCATCATTTGCTTTCTTAGATAGGAGTACCAGTGATGCTCTTCTATGGTAGGTCACTAGTATTTAAAGTCTTGAATTCTCATTGTCTTGTAAAGGTGAATTCAGAATTAATCCTTCCATTGAACTCATCACTTGATTATGAGTTCAAATTTTGACAAAAAAAAATTCCTGAAGAGATTCTTAGTACATGGATGCAATGAATTTTATTGACTTATGAGTACACGATGGCATAATCTCATCAGAAAAACAAGTCAATAGAAAAGATAATGAAATTAGCTGCATAACGATGCACAAAGTCTTCAAATCGCTAGCATGTACATTGTTGAACATACCCCCTTCCCCCTAAAACAAAATACAAAGTAGTAATTCTTATTCCCAATGATACATAACAACACATAGGGGTCGGTTACTGGGATTAGGATACTAATATAAGTATAGAACTTGGGTCTGTCATTCCAAACCTCACAAGAGTTTTAACTCTTTATAAGCTGATGCAGTAAATTAGCTTAGCCAAGAGGTAATAGTTGATGGCATGTGAGGTCTTCGACATAGCACTTTATGGCTTAACCTGCTACAAAAAGGAGGATTAATAGCATGAGGGTGAATTTCCATTGCTAATGTGCAGCATCTTCTTTCATTATCCGAACAAAACCAGGCAGGTCAAACCTTGGTCCAGCCACTGTTCGGTATATGTAAAGTTTATCAACAGGGCAGCTTCTTGGCTGCGTGTCCAGAGGACCCATCTCATCTATAACTTCAATATTAAGCCTAGGCATCTTCTGACTTAGCAGCTTACAGGCTCCAAAACTTACTGAACAAGAAGACATCCAAAGGGATCTCATTGTCTCCAGTTTTGCAGCATTAGCCAAAAGAGCGTCGTCACTAAAGGGGCAGTCTCTGATCTCTAGTTTTCTGAGGCTCTCACATCCAGAGAGTACATGGTGGAGGCCCATATCACTATCCCCAGCAAAGGCGACGGAAAGCATCTCTAACTTTTTAGCATGGGTCCCAATGTACTCAAACACACGGTCAGTAAGAAGGCCAGAAAGAGAAAGTCGCCGCAACTCTTTGCATTGTTCTACAATTGCCCCAAAACCAGCATCAAGCGGTTCAAGAGTCAAGTAATCAGGAGTTCGAGGTTCCAAAATACACAAGCGAAAACAAACCATGTTAGGACTGTTTCTAGCAATAGTAATCAAAGCGGCATTTCTCATTTGGCGGCAGAAGTATAAAACTGTTTGGAGCTTAGGACAGCCATCTGAAACAGCTACAAGTCCCTGCTCTGTCAGGGAAACATTTGGTTCTGGATCAAAGGGATTAGAAGGAAACACCCTAAGTTCTTGCAGGTCTTTACAGGTACCGGCAAGCGCCTGGAGACCGGTATCTTCAATGTAGTCTAGTACCTGTAGTCACATTTATTCAAAGTGAAATGTCTTAAACACTAAGCAACTATTCCAAGCTTGTAGCAAGAAAGATTAAAGAACCATTAGCAGGAAATTCTTTGAATGTCACAGGAAAAGAGAACAGATAAAAAAGTCTTCAGCATAAAAGTTAAGTTACCTGTTTCGTAAAAAAGTCTTCAGCATTAAGATTGATAAATATGTCATATGACCATTGCGTATGAGAATTATACAACCAAAGAATGTATCTTCTAGATCCTACTTCATGTACAGGTCTATAACTTCAACTTAAGGTAAAGGTGAATTATTTTAGCCAATCTTATGAGTGGAAAGTATCTGCATATCATGATTTTTATCCTAGATATCCTTGCCGTCAACAGAATTTACAAGACGATAAACAGGTAAAATTTTGTGTGCTTCTCTTATAAACAATCCCTTGCCTTCAAGGCAAGATATCATGCTCTTAAGTTATCAGAATGTTGTGACTGAAAACATAGGCAAGTAAAGTAAAGTAAAGTAAAGCAAAGCACTGGAACATACCCACAATCTCTGCAAATTATGACACAGACTTATGAGCTTGTTAAGATGAGGGTTTTGAATAGTAGCATAGCTTAAATTCAATGAGGTGAGTCTGGAGCAAACTGGATATACAGCTGGAAGGTAAGCTGGCATGACATCCCAAAATCCAGACAAGCCTTCAAGTATCTTGCAGCCTGAAAAAGCTTCTTGGAGGTTTGAGAAAACATCAGACTGTAACTGTACCTCAGAAGAGTATGCACCTGTACCAAATTCAACCAATTGGGAAGCACAAGACAATATGTGTGGAAGTTTCTCAAGGGGGACAGCTTGACTGAGCCGAAGTGTCTTCAAATTAGGAGAACGTGCAATGAGACTCTCCAGATGTGATAAGCTGATCTCAGAACCCAAACAAGAAATGTTAAGTGACACCAGTGACGTACAACCATCAGGAAAATGACTGAGCCAATCACTACTTAGGTCCTCCACTTCACTTTCTCCCAAGTCTAGTTCAGTGAGATTTCTGCAAGTGCAAATAACAATTTCAATTCTTTCTGTAAGTGTATGGGAGATGCCCATTATGTATGAGCAGCAATTAAATAAGTAAGGCAATAAAAGGGACCTGCAGTTAGCGGCAATGGCAGCAAGTCCATCGGTAGTAAAGCCTTCACAAGACAACAAGACCAAGACCTTGAAATGGTGAAATGAGGTGGAAATCAAGTCCAAGGAGTCATCAGTGACAACCATTCGCTTGAGTCTAATTTCCTCAAGCCAAGGATAAGAGGGAGACATTGCAGCAATCCAAGGTTGAAGATAGGCACCCCATCCGTCAGGAACGAGATTAAAGTCAGCAAAATGGGGCTTTCCTTTGAGATAGATGGATGTGAGTTGAGGGAAGCGTGTGATCATAATCTCAGGGCTAACGGCGTAGCAGTTGCCGATGAAGACACTCCTCCTAGAGCGCCTCTCGAGCTCGTACCACGACTTAGAGACTAAGGATATACTGTTACGGTCCTTGTGTGAGGTTAACAAGGAGAAGAGGTGCTTCAACACTTGTTCAGGGAATGACGACGACATTGTTGTTCAGATCTGGAAGAGGAAGAAGAAGAGGATGATTTATTGTTGGAAATGGATAGTTAGTTAACTAACTTAACCAGGGTTGGGTTAAGTTTAGTTGTCGGTGCTCATATTAATTACTCTATTATTGTGGATACACTTGTCTTTTTATAGGTGGCCCGTGAATTCTTAATAAACGTGATTCTGAGTAACGTTTTACACTTAAAACATTACTGATCATAGTAACGTATTATAAAAATGTTACTCAAAGTTACATATTAGGCTAAAAACGTTACTTTGAGTAACGTTTCTATACTTAACACCGTCAACTACAATATTCCGCATAGCTGGTCCTAAAACGTTATTGAGAAATACGTTTATACTACTATTGTAAAAAAATTAAAAAACGTATTATTTTAGTGAATTGCTTTAAATAATGGCATAATTTGGCCAAAAATACCATACTTGTCAGTTTACTACAATTAGTGAAGATGTTAGTCCTTCCGTGAGCTTCAATCTACGATAGAAATCACCAAAGAAGTTTGTATTCTTTCTATTATCATACTGAAACAAATCCTAATTCTCAATACAAATACATAAACATTATAGTCGTTGATAACCAAATTATAATAACAACACTTGAATTACAAAGAGAAGTACTGTAATAACAAGTAACTAAAGATAGAGCTAAGAATGGGAATGAGAAGTTAACACTCTAGAAAGAAGATGAGAGGAAAAGACAGTTTCTTTATAGTCCCTCCGTCCCATTTTATGTGGCACCATTTTCTTTTTAGTCAGTCCCAAAAAGAATGTCACATTTCCTTATATGGAAAGTATTTAAAGGTACAATTCATTTTTTACCCTTGTTGGTCCCACTTAATATTAAAATAATACTCCAATACATTTATGAGGAGAGAGAAAAGTGACTCTACTTTTTAAAGGGCAATTTGGTAAACATTTCAAAGTCTTCATTTATTTCTTAAACTCCGTGCCCGGTCAAATGTTGCCACATAAAATGGGACGGAGGGAGTATTCTTTCTTCTCTTAATTTTCTTTCCATTTTTAAACATGAAAATAATATCCAAATTGTGTATATATATTTAAAAGAAGTAGGTATGTCTTTGTATTTTTAGTAGAACCTCTCACATATCACTTAAGGTAAAGATGAGAAAATTAGTATCTTCCATGATATTATTTCATTTTGTAAGTAAAATAGTTGATTATTTCATTAGATTACATTTTGGACCGTTGCTGGCTCCACTTTTGGAATTAAACTCCATCCATATCCATAACATGGTCTCACTACTACACACTCGGACTGGTACTGACAAGAAATGTAATCCCTCTCCATGGCTTCAATCAACTCTAGCTCTTGTTTTGTTGTTTTTATAGTCAACTAGCTGCTAGGAACAGAATAGTACTCCATTCATCACAGTGGTCCAATATAAGTACTACTTTAATCTGTGATGAACAACTAACTCATTGCCTAAACCATTTCGCCTAATATCCAAAAACAATAGAAAATGGACTCCACAAGAGATAGGAATGAATACTACCTCATCATGGAATTTGAAAATGATCAAGTAATCCCTCATGCCCTAACATTAATTATTCAGAACTACATGTATTTCCACAAACGACCACAGCTCCTTTACATGGTTAGCTGAGGGATATGATCAAATCAAGTGTCCTTTCACAAAATATGATCCATTCATCGAGAAATCCTATTTCAGAATCTGATAACGACCAAGAGGAAATCCAAGCATCAAACGGCCTTAGCCTTAAAAACTGATCAAGTACTAAAGTTGCACCAAGAAATTGAGGAGTTCAACAACAACTTCTAATGCACAAAGATGAAGAGAAACTGCTTTGGATTTGCTCAGGGAGGAAAACAGCAGGCTCAGGATGAAGGGGGATAATCTCATTGAGCTCAACGCATCAAACAAGGGTTTTTTGAAGAGCAAATCTCCTAAGCACTAGTAATTTAGCTAGTATATTCAATGATTATACTTTTTGTTCATTTGCTACTATACCTCAAAAATTATTCTTTTTAGTATAGGAAGAGTATCATTTTAATTTGAATAGTATTCTTTTGACAACTGAATCAAACAGAGAATGAAAAAGCTTGTTGAGTTTGTTTAGACAAAGTGGAGTCATTGTTTTATCATAACCCTTCTTATTTGGAGATACAAGAATGGCAATACATCTCAATTAACTTAGTAATAAGTGACTGATTATTTACTCTGATAAGCAAAAACAATATGAATAAATCTACAGTAGTACATGGTGTGAATATTTAATACTAAAACAATAAATTATACCATCTGTACCAACAATGCAGCAGCAATTACAGACCAAAGACCAGAATTGCACTAAAAACTGATGCTAGAGGAATTGCAGAGTGAAATGAGAATGAGGCAGAAGGCTGAAATGGCATGAAAGGTCCAGGAGCAACCATAGCATCTGGATTTGGTGGGCTGAGAGTTGAAGGTATAGTGGGCAGTGAGGAATCACTTGGAGCAAGCTCTGAGCCACCAGGTGAAGGAAACAGAGGAGTTATATCTGGAGAAAGTGAAGGTGAAGAAGATATTGGTGGCAATGCAGGTGCAGCTGAAATAGTTGAAGCTGGCATGCTAGCTACAGAAGAATAAAAAGATTGGCAAATCAAGAAAATCATGAGTGGAATCAAGAATGGCTTTGTGGAAGTGGAAGCCATTAATGAATGGTGTGGACACCCTTTTGACTATTCTTGGCACAGAAATAGTAAAGGTATTATCTTTGGTGAAAAGAATGACATTATGATTGATTATCAAGAAGCTAAGAAGACAGCTTGGAATGTATTGGCAATGGGACAAGATTGGTTAATGGTAATTGTTGAGATATCACATGAGCTTGTTTGTCCTCTTCCTCTATGGAATTTTCTCTATCTGACAAACCATTTTCAAAATTGCGTCTGGCACCTCCACCGTCTTGAAAATCTCAATAAGTAACTTGAAAAATATGGAAACTACCTTGCTATAAACTGGCTTATACAGATAACTATTTGCATGATCATTTCATTTAATATTTAAATCATTTCTGCAGACGATTCGTAAGCAGGTGAAAAAAGAAACAAAAAAGGTCTAAGTAAGCATGTTCAGGAATTTGGAATCTTGTGTAGGTTGGAGTATGGTAGGTCCATTCTATAGTCTATGACATATTGAGCTCATAGGAATGTGATATTTCCCACATACGGATACGGTTCAGGAAAGTGAATAAATACACCATCTTATCTAACCTTCCATTTTTCAAATCAAAACTTCTTGTTGCTGCAAATATAAGTAACACACAAGATTTGAAAGATTACTACCGGGAATGGGGAGGAAAAACTGAAAGAACAAAAAAAAATCTTGCCTATACTGAATGGTAACAAAACCTTCAACTCTCAAAATTTCCTAAAAATTGATAATTACATCCTACACCTGTAAAAATAAACCTCAGAAATGCTGCATACTTAAATGTGCAGGGCCATGAACTTCCATTTCACCTAAAGGCAATAGCCACCAGCACATTGATTTAAACTGAACATTTTCTTTTTTTATATTTTGCATCCATCAGTTGTATTATTTGCTACATAATTGTTGTTCACTTTGCGGGCCAATCTTATTTAAAACCAAAGGAGGTAGCCAAGTAAGCACTGTTGTGTAGAGTCACCATGCAGATTATCTGAGTTCTTTCCCCTGTCAAGTTTACAAATGTGACAATAGATCTTTTTCTGCAAGAATAACCATCTTATTCATGAAACACTTTGGAAGAATGGCTGCCTTCAAGTGAGAATCAAGATCAAGCTTCATATGCTAAGTGATCAAGACCAAAGAAACCCTTCATAGCCAAATTCACCGTGATTGGTTGCTTCACTTTGTTCTATGGTGGAATCAACGTACTGTCCCAGAAGATCTGATGATCTTTCAGCTGGAATGCCGTAGTCTTTGAGAATACTAGCTGAGGCAGACATGGCTTCCTCCCTTTCCAGAACCACCAGAATATTGTCTTCAAATTCAAACACTAAATATTTGCCCTTGGATGCTGCACAAACAGATAAATTTGTAAATGCTCAGCTAAAGAGAAAAGAGACCTCAACTACGTATATTACCACTTACAATCTACAAGATGAGCCAAATGGTGAATGTTTTTAATTCGGGTGCCATTCATCTTCAAGACCTGCCAAGTAAATTAAAAATTGAGACTTCATAGAAGCAGCATACAACAACTATGCCTCAACTCCAAGCTAGTTGGGGTCGGCATATGAATCCACTTCATTGAAAAATCACACGTGACTTAATTTGAAGTTTGATGTTCACACTAATTATTGTTTACAATTCAACTGGTAGGAATATAACATCTAAGTGAATACGAATAACTTACCTGCTCATTGCTCATATCCTCATATCCAATATTTACTTCATTTGCCAAGACCTACAAGCAAAATAAACCATTGAATGTGGCATTATTTTTGTAATTAACCCCTCGGCATCATTTAGAGGTGAAAAAATGGGTAAGCAAGTGATAAGGTATACTAGAACCCCAAGGGTGACAAATGGGCAGGCTAAAGCCTATTTAACCATTTTGCCACCTCTATCATCACCCTTAGGATAATGTGCCCTGTTCCTGTTCCTGTTCCTCCACCATGTCCCAGGAATGGGTATGTCCTACTATCGAGTCCAGTAATGAACAGAAGAAAGGATAAATATTTCAGTCACTATATCCATGAATTGATTTACCAAGGCCAAAACTTACTCCATACATACCTGAGATAGTACAACAATCTGCTCACCTTCGAACTTGGCCAAAGAGTATCGAGCCTTGGTCAATAGTTTTAGCTAATAAAATTAAAAGAAAACAATCAAGACAAGAAAGTATTTCTAATCATTGACTTATCAAAACAGAACAAAAAAGAAGTTTTAATCATTGCGAGCAATCATCATTTTGTCAAGACTTACCCCAATGCTATCTTCTTCTTCCCTGCCAAATAAAATATGAATGTGTTGTTATCAGAGAGAGAACTCTTATACTAATATGTAC